AGGTTCCATACAGGCAGGACCCCAAATCCCACCTGAAAGGAGGGGGACAGGTGTGGGACACATATTGAGAAAGTAAGAAAATTACAGCCTGAAAAATATTCCAGGCTGGAGCTTCTCAGCTCTATTCCCAGCCGATAAGCTGGTCCAGCTCAAGGTTAGGGAGAATTTCTCCCAGGGTGAGAATTTGGTCACAATAAAAAGGAATTAATAACAAAAATAGAACCCCTGTTGTGGTGTGTGCCCAGGCCCTGGCAATGGGGTGTCTTCTCTCTGAACCAATCACCTTTTCTCTACTCTGGGAGTTGCAGTCCTGCTATAAAATCAAGTGTGTTTCTGAATAAACTTGGCTCTTTCTTCCTGTCATGAAAAACAACCACGTAGCTGTGCATCTTATTTCTGCCTCACTTAAAGGGTTAAAACCCCTTCCCCACGGCTACACACAGGGGCTGTGCATCTCCTCCAGGGACAAACCCTCCTTTCAAAGCACTCACCAGCTTGTCCATCAGGCAAGTGATGGGCGGCCCTATCCAAGGACTTCTGCTTCTTCTCCTTGCGCCGGTGGCAGCGGTGGTGGTGGTGGTGGTGGCCTTGCTCCGGAGGCATCCGCTCCAAGGAATACTCGTACAGGTGCATGGCGTGGGGGCGCTGCGGGGCCAGCGTGGAGACCGAGCGCTTCATGGGGCTCGTGTCCGGGATGGGCTGCAGGGAACAGGGAGGGACACGCGGCGGGGTGAGGGAAGGGCCCTGCCCCGCAGCCTGGCTCCCAGCGAGAGAAAGGGGCAAGGAGGGCAAGGACGCAAATGGTTAACTGGAGACAACCAGAATGGGCAGGAGGGTCTGTGGGATGTGGGTTGAGTGTGAAATTTGGGGGAGTGAATGGGGATCTCCGAGTGGCAATCCATGGGGGTCATAGAGGCACAGGCAGCACTGCACAGCACAGGCAGCGGGGAGCTCAGCAGGGACACGGGGCACAGCAGCAGCCAAGCACCTCACAAGGGGAATTCTCCAGAACCAGGGGCACCCACAGCTGCTCCAGGGCCTGCATCCCAAAGCAGCTCCAAAGAGGAAAGCAGGTAGCATTGCTGAGCACCACATGGAGGGGGAGAAAAATCAGGAATCAGGGCGAGGTACAGGCCAAGCCACCAGGAAATGCCTTCTATCTCCCTGCAGTGAACACAACTCCCATCAAACATTTAAACCTCTCTTGTCCCAGCCTCGCTCCCTGAAGCCTTTGCCTGGGGCAAGGATAGTGTGTACATCCTGCAATCCCACCAGGACAACTCCAGAAAGCAATACCTGCGTTTGCTATTGCTGTTTTATTTAAAAACATTTGTGTCCAAACATCTGGGCACTGAGAGCTGTAACAGCATTGCTGGACCCCCTCCCTGTGCCAGTGGCAGCTCCAGACCCTGCTCTGACAGCTCCAGACCGTGCTCCCTCCCCTTTAGGTACAAAACCTTACAAAGGTTCTGCAGAGCCCCAGCCAAGTGTCCTGCAGGACAGCTCCTCTCACAGCCTCTGCCCAGGGAGAAAGCTCAGAAAACAGGGACAATTCCCACATCTGTGCTGGCCTCTGCTTGGCTCCTCTGGATGCTTCCCTGGGTCTGTCACTGCATCCGAGCCGGTGCTCCAGCTCGACAGGGAAATTCAGGATGTTCTCCAGCCCCTCAGCCTCACTTGTGTGAATTCCCAATCCAATAAAGTGCCTCCAACAACAGCTCTCAGGGAACATTTACTCTGCTCACTGTAACCTTTCCTAAGAGCTCTGTATTATTTTTCCTGTCTGTTCTCTTTTGTTTGCTTATCCTGAAATCCAGATCTCTGCTTCCCTGTGATATTTACCCAAAGCAAAGCCAATTGTTTCACAGCTCTGCTCATAATTTTGAGTGGAAGAACCACTCTCCCTCCCCTCGAGGGCAGATTATCCTGGGTGTAAAGGCACGATCTGGGCAGTTATCCACATTTTGGTGCTTCCCACTGAAGGGTAGCTGGGATCCTGGTGCTGGAAGGTTTATCAGAGGCAGAAGGCTGGGATGAGGGAGCCCAGCACAGCCTGTGGTGTGGCCCTGGAAGAATGAATTCCATCAGCAAGACCACATTGTGCTGCTTTGGTGTCACCTCATTTGTATGGGCAAGAAATTATACTCAGGAGCTTTGTATCTGTCATTGCCTAGTGCTGAGCCTGCAGCTGGGGGAAGGCAGGGCGCTGTAAACTGGACAGTCTGATGGGGAAAAATATGGGAAGTGAAGGTATTTCTCACTAAAAACACATCCAGATTTTCAAAATCCATAGCAGGGCTGCCAGGAAGAAAGCAACAGAAAAAACCCCAAAAAACAAAAAAAAAAAAAACCCAAAAAAAAAAAAAAAAACCCAACCACACAAAACCAAGAAATTGTCAAGAAATGAACATTTGTTTTTGGTCCTGCTTCCACACTTATTCCAGGGACAGAAGTCCCAGTAACACGAATCAGTGGCAAAGCAATCCATCCCTTTTCCATAAATCCTGGCCAGGCTCCTGTTGTGGGAGGCATAGGCTCCCTGCAGAGAGCTCCTAATTGCTTCTTCATTACCAACCCGACTGTTTTCCTGCTTAAATTCCTGAGCAACGAGGCATGAAAATAAACAAATAAAAAAAACCAAACCACCCACCCACCCCCTGCTACCAGAGCAGCAGAACAGCGTGCAACCATGGATCGAGGGAAAAGGGGGGAACAAAGAGAGGCTGTGCCGGCAGGACTCCAGATGAGAGGGGAGAAAAGTCAAGGGTTAAAGGAAGGTTCGTTAATTGTTAAGATGAATTTAATAGGATACGATTTAGTGCAAACTACATACTGCCAGGTAACTCCCAGGTGACCGTGCTTTGCTCCTCTGCAAACAATTCGGACAAGGTGAGGGACATTATTGGAAGCAGCCCCACAGTACAGCCAGTGTCAGACATCAGATGTGCAGCAGACATGATGACGACCAGGGAGGGAGGTGATGGGGGCAGGACAGCAAAGAGGGAGGGTGGAAACACAGGAGGAAGGGTTTTTTGAAATAAGTGGAACATAAAAAGAGAGAGGCAAACAGAAAGGGAGATGTCCAGGAACAGAAAGCGTGGCAAAGAGGAGTTAGAAAGAACTCAAAGTTTGGGGAGGGGCAGAGCAGCACATGAGAGGGAGGGTGGGGGGCGGGGGGGGGGGGGAGACACACACAGAAAGGACATCAGTTATTCACCCAAGCTACAACCACTGAACACTGTATTATTAAATGAGGTTAGAGCTGAGATTCTGGGCCTGATTCACAGCCAGGGCTGGCACGAGGGGCAGTGACACCCTGGGGCCACAAGCCATGCTTCTGTCAGGGACATTCCTGCAAACCCTGACTGCCATGGAGAGGAGCTGCCCAAGGGAAGGCTCTGCCAGCTGCACTGCTGGGGAAGGAAAGAGGCTACCTGTGGTCCAGGATACAGGACAATTTCTGGGAAGGGGAAAGGCTTTGCTTTGTGGGCTGTAGCTTTTATTTAGCACAGTGAGGAGTGCTCCTGATAATTCTGCAAATCCCACAAAGCTGCACCTTCTGGAGCCAGGTGGGAAATCCTCTGGCTGGTGGGGGCAGCTCCAGCCCTTTGGCACAACAATTCCATCTGTTGGAGCTGCTGCTGTGTGTGCACAACACAGCGTTTCACTTCAGGGTGCAGCAGATCCTTCACATCCTGCTCCCCACAGAGAGCCACAGAAACAGAGCCCAAGGCCAGGCTGCTCCCTCCTGGCTGTGTGAATCAGGCCCTGGGAATGGGGCAGGACACGAGTGGTGAGATGTGACACAGGAGGCAGGATGGTGGCTGGGCAGCACTGGGGACAAACAGCAGTGAACATGTGGAATGGCCAGAAATGATCTGTGACATCCTACACACTAAGCAGTGCCCACAAGTTGCTGTGAAAGTCAACTCCAGTGAGGAGATTTCTTTAAAAAGTAAGTTAAATCAACAAGGGAAATCCTCAACACCAAATTACTGGCCAAGGTCACAGTACAGGAAAATAGAGGGACACACTCAGTGTCCCAGAACAGCTTCCAGACACAGCTCCCTGTGCCTGCTGCATCCACCCGAGTGTGTCACAGCACATCTCCAGCTTTTTGTAAGGACAGGGCACAGGAACGTGGCTTGGCTGGCTGGAGAAACAACACACAACTCATGGGAAATGTCCCTTCCAGGAATACAGTCTGCAAATGGCCTTGTCCCCAAACAGTGACCCAGACACTCCTGGGTGGCCCAGCCAGAGAGATCGTCCTGGGCTGCAAGCAGGGAGGAGTAAAAGTGGGGACAGGGCTGTGACTGCACAGGATAGCTGCCACACCCCAGCAGGGAATCCTGGACATCCCTTAAAGGGAATCCCGGCCACACCCCGGCAGGGAATCCTGGACATCCCTTAAAGGGAATCCCGGCCACACCCCAGCAGGGAATTCCGGACACACCCTGCAGGGAATCCCGGACATCCCTTGCAGGGAATCACTGCCATTCCCTTCAGGGAACCCTGGCCATCCCAGCACAAGGCCTGGATTCCTGTCTCCACATCTTTTAAAACCAATATTCCCAAGCCATTTCCAAGCCATGACAAGCAGAGAGAAGATGCCTGGCCTGCTCTCAGCCTGCCAGCCTCAAGTCCCCATCTCTCACCTGGGTTTCAGCAGCCAGGCGTGGCATGGAGGCTGCTCGTCCCTGGCTCTCCAGGCCTGGCTGGGGCTCTCCGTTGGCAACTGTGGGGCTGATCTCCTTCATTTCCACCACCTGATCAGAACATGGAATGGTTTCAGTAGCAAGAACAGGAGTATCAGCTTCTTGCAGTTTGATTTGACTGGGAAGAGATGCTGGTGTGGGAAAGAGCAGCTCAAGAGCTGTGGAGTGCCCAGGTTACCCTGTCCCAGCACAGACATCCCACAAGCAGTGGGATGAGCTCTTCCACCAGCCACGAGCCCCAGCTGGACCTGGGAAACACCTCAGCTCATTCTGACCAGAAACCCCTCATCTGAGCTGGGACAATGGGATTGGGAAATGGGAAGAGAAAGCCTGAGGTAGCTTATGGCAGCAAGACAGAATTCCAGGAAAAGCATGTCCAGATCAGGCTGCCAGGTTTGGGGTTTCTCCACAATGCTCAAAGAGACAGAGCAATGCTTGCCTCAGGGACAGATTTCCTGCTAACGCAGGTCCTCTGTATTCGCGTGGTTTTTCTAAACATTTTCTAAAACTTCTGAAATTCCACCACAGCTCTAAAATCTCCTGCACCTCACCCTGTCTTCATCTGTTTTTTCCAAGTATTTTCTAAAATTTCCTAAATTCTACCACACCTCTAAAATTACCTGCATCTCACCCTGTCTTCACCTGCTTTTTAAAAAGATTTTCTTAAATTTCTGGAGTTCTCCCACTGCTCTAAAATCTGCACCTCCTCCTTCCCCCCCATTTGCTCACCCTCTCGATGGGGATCTCCTCGGAGTGGCCTCTCTCAAAAGCTGGGCTCCTGGTTTCATAGAACACGTCCTGGGTGCGCTGGGTCCCCCAGGAGCTGGACTCTTTGATCCCTCCCTCTGGGGGTGGCCTGTCCAAAGGAAAAGAGGGAGAAAGATTCATTCTTTTGCAAAGAGATTTTGCTGAATTTGGCAAACCAAACTCGAGCACTCTTTGGGGCTTCAAGTAAAAATCATTTGCAGGATGGGCACAGTGGCTGGTGGAGCTCTAAGGTCCCCTGGGATTTTCCCCTGTAGAGCCTGAAGACCCCATAAGAACAAGGAAATCAAACCAACTATGATTTTTTTTTTTCAGTAATTAAGGAAAATTACTTCTGCCACTTAATTCCTGATGGACAATGAATAATTTGGGAGTTCAGGTTAATTTTGTGTGCAGGACCAGCTGGACACTGGTCAAACACCTCAACCATGATGAAGTCCCTTCACCAGCTGTCGTGTCTGGTGTTGGTTTCCCCATCAGGATTATTTGGGATGTTTAAACCTCAGCTGTCTCACTAAAAATCCATAGTGCTCATGATCCAGAGGAAAATCACCTGGAGAGCAGGAAATGGAGAACTGATGAGGGATCACTGTCACTAGGACTCTTTGGAAAGCTCATTTTCCCAGAGAGACACATTGTGTTGTGGCAAGCATTTGCTGTTGCCACAAGTTCCAGGGATGAATTTATTCCCAAGGATCTTTGGCCTCCCAAAAACTCATTGCTGGGATGGTCAGTGGGGTTTGTTTGGTTGTTTTGCAACAGTCCCAAATTCCTGTGAGCAAACCCACCCTGGGAAGCTCTTCAGTGAGAATTCATGAAGGAAATACCAAGATCCACTAGCACAGTGGGAGCACGTTGGAATCCTGGGGTTTTTGACCTTTCTGTGCTTTCTGGCACTGACCCCAGGAGAACACTGCTTTTGACTTAAGGCCTTGGAGAAGGCTCCAAATTTGAGTGATGGAGTTAAAGTCACGGGTGTGTAGTTAAATAGAAGTGTGTGATTTCACTTGGTGAAGGGTTTTGAATTTGAGGTTTTTATAATATAGTAATAGGCATGGGACAAGATGGAGGATTTTGGGTGGTGTCTCCTTTTGGTGTTCTTCCTCCTCCTTCTCCATGCTTTCAGGCAGTAGTTTCTGGTTGCACACTCAGTGCTGCACTGCAGGTCACAGGAGTTTGGTTATTGGGTCAAAAGTATAAATAATATAGGTGTTAATTCTCTATTGGACTGTTTAGCTTTAAGAGACCTTGTAGCAGCTGGATTCATCTCCATTTTGCTGGCTTTTAGCTGGTAGCTGGAAGTGTTGCAGAACTCTGTACTTTAGATAAGATTTAATAAACAACCAATCCCAAACACAAGAAAAATCCATCTCCTTCATATTTTTAATCCTGACTCTAAGTGAAGACAGAATAATGACAAACCTCTAATTAAGCAGTGCAAACACCACATTGCCAGGAGCAGAGCCACCAGCAGGAATTGTCCCAGCCATGGTGGCGAGGGGCTGCTGGCCTTGGTGGCAGCAGAGGCACTGGAGCAGCAGGGGTGGATGGGGTGTCCCGAAGGGGGGTGGCTCTGGGGGGCTCAGGGATACTCACAGAGCTCCCCCGTTGTTGAGGGAGGCCGAGCTCTTCTGGCGCAGGAAAGCCTTGGCATTGCTGAAGGTCGTGGGCTGGGTCTGCTCCAGGGTGGCCTTCAAGGGGTGGAACAGGGACACTGGCCCGGGCTGCCAGGGACAAGGGAGGGTTGTCAGAGCTGCCATGGGCTGCAGGGCTTTTCCTACTCCATGAAAAGCTCACTCTGCCACCCTGGGACAGCAGAAAGGCCACACACAGCTGGGAGAGGCTCTGAGGGACACCTGGTACCATTCCTGCTTCATTCCCCTTCCCTCCGAACCTTCTCCCAGTTCCTGCTCCAGTCCCTTTCCCTCTGAATGTTCTCCCAATTCCTGCTCCAGTCCCCTCTTCTCTGAATGTTCTCCCAATTCCTGCTCCAGTCCCTTTCCCTCTGAATGTTCTCCCAGTTCCTGCTCCAGTCCCTTTCCCTCTGGATGCAGGGAATCCCCCTTGGATGTGGCCAGAGGGGCTGAGCAATCCCAGTGGCTCTGGATGGATCTGTTGTAGCCATCCACGTGTGGGGCAGATCTCCACCCCGTGCTGGAGATCACTTGGATGCTCATCCTATAAAAAACCAGCTGTTTGTTCCACTGCAAACAACTGGGCTTTCAATGCCAGTTGTGTGAAAATATTTTCTAGAGTCTGTAAAAACCTTCAAACCTATTAGAGACAAAACTACTTTGAATAATTCCTATTTTCAAAAATAACTTAAGCCTTCTATAGCCAAGCTATCAGCAGCTTTCAATAGTTCTTTGGTCTCCCAAGGAAATATTTTGGTGTTCCCCAGGCTCTAGGCCATTTTTAAACATAGGATTTAGACTTTCAAAGATCAGTTGTCATTTTTGGCAAAGGATCTTTCTTTACCAGAAAAGACAACTACAATGGGTTTTTTTAAATACTTTTTAAGAGAGACTTTCAGGAAACATTTCCATTTTGAAACCCTGCCTGGAGGAGCAGCCAGATCCTCTGGCCGAATCCTACTAATAATTCTCGTTAAAGCTGCCCAAGAGGGAGGATGAAAAGACCCCTTTTGTACCTGGCACAGGCCCCCAGGGGGCTGGACTTGCTCCCTGCTGTTCTTATTCTGCTTGTAGAAGTCAAATATCATCAGGGCTGCGTAGACCTTCCCCACAGTCATCTCATCAGCTGCCAGAGCATGGGGAAAACACAGCAGAGACATCCCAAGGATGAGGAGAAGACAAGAATAAGAAATAACAGCAAATGGGTGTGAAAAACAGGGAGAGGCAGGAAGCGACATGAGAATAATGAGGCAAAACAGACACAGAAAAGTAGGGGAAAGAAAAAAAAACAACAAAGAAAAGGTTACAACAGATTTTTCAACTCTTTGCCTGTTGTTGCCTCGCCTTGGTTTGGAGCTCTCTCTCTGTGGCAAACACAGGGATGGTGTAGGAAAAACCAGGCAGGAAAACTCAGTGGCATTGTCAGCATTGCTGGGAGAATTCCTAAATTCATCCCAGAGCCACAGCCCCCCTCCTGCTTCACTGAATTACAGCAAACGGGCTATAATGGGCTAATATATATTTAAGGAATATTTCATTTCTCCAGATGGTTTTTATCACCCTCTGAGCCATGGGACATCCCTTCCCTCCCCAAAACTGGAGCACTCACCATGGAAAAAAGAACTGGAGCAGCAGATATACAGGAACGAAGAGAGGAGGGGAGGGAAAGACTTCAGCAGTCAGGACCCACTGACTGACACCTCCTCAGCTCCCTCTTTTTTTTTTTTTTTTAATTAACGATACCTTTATTACTCTGAACTGCTTTTCATTAATCAGGAATCCAGAGCTAATCAAGATAACAGCAAACTTCCCATTTTCTCTGCATTTTTGCCCAGGACATCACCAAGTAACACAAAGGCTTTTAACCCCCAAACACCTCACATCTGATTCACTTTTCCCTGCTTTTCTGGAGCTCAGATGGCAGGAACAGGCAAGGAGGGAAAAACCTCACCTGGGGTCGGACAGGGCAGGGAAGGAGGGAAAAGCCTCACCTGGGGTCGGACAGGGCAGGGAAGGAAGGGAAAAAACCTCACCTGGGGTCGGATAGAACAGGAAAGGAGGGAAAAATCTCACCTGGGGCTGGATAGAGCAGGAAAGGAAAGGAAAAACCTCATGTGGGGTTCTGGGTGTCTGGGATGGAGCCAGTGCTTGAAGCACTTACGTTTGTGAGGAGGCACCAGCAAATCCAGAGTCTTCTGGGACAGGTTGGGCCAGACCAGGGAGATCTCCTTCCTCAGCTCAGCATCGCACTGGTGCTGCTTCACACCGCCTGCAGGCAGGGAGGGACGAGAGCAGTGACACCCTGCCAGTGACACCCTGCCCCTCTCTTGCCACTCCTCGGCAAGGGCGAGCCAGCACAGCCCTTCCCTGCCCAGGGAATGCAGGAATTCTCCGTGGCAGAAGTGCAGGAACTCAGCAGGACCATGCTGGCCTCACCCTGGGGACCCTGAGCAGTGACCCGGGACTTAAATTTGAGCTCAGCCTTATTCCATGTAACTGCAGGAGGCAGCAGCACCTCCCAGGTGGGATGCAAAGGAACCCGAACATGAATCGCAAAATCCCATCATCACAGATGGGTTTGGGTTGGAAAAGCCCTTCAAGATCCTCTCACCCAAGCCCCTGTGCCATGTCAGGTTCACAATGGATGGATTACAAACCTCTGCCACCAGCTCTTCCCAAATCCCTGCAATGACACACAAGTACAGAGCTCTGCCCCAGCACCCTAAAGAAGAGCAGAGCCAAACCCACAGCTCTGTTCCTGGGGCCAAAGCCAGGCCTAAACGCACACGTGGAAAGTGATTAAAGGCTGGGTGAGCCCCAGGCCAGCTCCAGCTGAATTCCCCACGCAGCAGGCAATTAAAGAGTTCATCTGAATGACAGAGATTATTTTCCTAAGAGCAGAGTGAGGGGGGGAGGCTCAGGGTACTCTGTTACACCGTGGTTTGAACTCCCACACGAGAACTCATTAGGGAGGTTTATTAAGGGCCTGTTAAACCCACTAAAGACTCAATTAAATGTAGCACATGAAACCTATTCAAAGGGAGCTCATAACAACAAAACAGGTCAGAACCTCACAGCCCAGAGCAGAGCTAAACCACAGAAATAATCCAGGCTATCAGCTGAGCTCTCCTCTCTGGCTCCCTTCCAGTTTTCAAAAGGATGGGAGGAGCTTTTCCAGTTGAAAAAGGCTGACAGGTAACCAGAAACTGAAAATTAAACAAACTCTCAGCATCCTTATCTAGGATTTATTCCTGAAATATGGTGCTGGCTCTTAAAGCCACAGGCAGTCCTAAAAGCATCCATAGAAATGCGTGTCTGATCCTTGTCTTGATCCCACTCCTTTGGGGAGCCCCAGGCACCTCAAAATTTTGTCTTCTTTGAGCAATGCCTCCCCAAAGCATCAAAGGCAAAGTTTAAGCAACACAGGAGGGAGGAGATGAACTCAGATGTTTGCACTGGCCTAAAACTGCTTAGGAAAGCACAGCAGCCTAACCCTGCCTTGCTCCCTGCTCCTGAGAGCCTGGTTACCTCCTGTTAACTTTTAAACGAGGTGTAAGAGTGCTTAGGCCAGGCATGGCTTGGCTGTGACCCCAGCCAGGCTGATGGAATGGGGTAACGACCCGAGAAAAGGCCGGGCCATTTCATTACATTGCAAAGTTTAATTGGGAGCTGAGTAAACGCCTGATTAACCACTTCAGTAATTACATTTTATCACAAAGCAGAATGTGCTTCAGGGCACTTGGAGTTCCTGCCTTGCTGCCAGCATGGAGGGATTGGAGAGGAAGGGCTGGAATAGTCCAGAACAGAGGTGTGGAAACTCATTTCTGATTCAGAGCAAGGAGAACACGTCCTGGGCTTCTCCTCCCAGGGTTCTCAGCCGGGAAGGGCAAAGTTTCCCACTTTTCATTGCCACCCCAAAGGCACAGGGATGCTCAGGACCCCTTTGTCCTCTCCCCAAGCTCCCTTGTCCTCAGGGATGGGAAGGAAATGGGGAGACAGGATTCCCACCTGGGCAGAATTTCTGTGGTTTTGGGACAACACCAAGCCCACAGATGTCACTGAATACTCTGAGCTGGATGGGACCCACAAGGATTATGTCAAACTCTAGTGAAAGGCCCATCCAGGGATTAATCTGAGCCCTTGGTGCTCCTGGCACCTTGCTCTGACCAACCAAGCCCATCTTGGGGGCAGGAGTTGGGCTTTGAGCCAATGTGCTTTCAGAAAACTCCAATTTTCTCCTGGTTTTCTGGAGCTCAGATGGCAGAAAATGCTCTCCCATCCTGCAAGGCACAGGCTGGAGGCTGACAAAGCTCTGGACACAGAGCACTGGTCTCTTACTGGTGCTGTTTGGGGTTTTTTCCATGTACAGGAAACCTGCAGAATAATGAAATCCACACCTAGAGGAGATTTCAGCTTTCCTAATCCCTGTGGAACCGTGCCACGGTCACAGAGGATTCCACAGAGCTGAGGTGCCCTTGGTGGCTTTGCTGCATCCTCCAGGTCACCCAGCCACCCCCTGAGCCCCCCTCCCTCTCACCTGATGTCCAGGTGACCCTGAGCCCCCCCTCCCTCTCACCTGAGGCCAGTTTGATCTCCAGGGCTGTTCGGATCAGGGCCATCAGCGTGGAGGTGAAGTGCACAGTTAAATCCTCAGGAGAGATGGGCATGTTCATCCTCACCAGGCGCTGGGGACACACAGGGCTGGCTGTCAGTGGGGGCCAGCATCCTCCCCCCACCCTCACCTGCCCCTCTCTGAACCCCCAAAACACCCAGAACACAAACAGGAAGGAACTTTTTGTGTGCTGAGCTGAAATTCTTCTGCCCATGGATGTCAGCTGCTGCCCAGGAGCAGTTTTGGGGTAGAACTTCAGTGGTTTAAGCAGCTGAGTGATTTGCCAGCACTGCACTGCAATCCTACAGAGCTCTGGGAGGCTCATCCCATTTCCTGCCTCCAGTGGTGTCTGCAGCATCCAGACATGTCCCACCTGCCACAGCAGAGTGCTGAGGAGATAAAAACCAGAAATCCACCTCCTCCACCCTTTCCTACACCAGCTGGCCTCACTAAATCCTTCCCAAATCCTAAAACAGGACAAAATGGCACCACTGACTGCAGTAAGATGATGAAAGGTTTGCATTTTCCATCCCAAACGTGGCCTTGCAGGGTACAGGATGTGAGGAAGGCACTGCCAGTGACAAGGACAGTGTGAGGGCTTTGTGCAGGTGCTGTGCTGTCCCTGGAGGAGGCTGGGATGGTGGATTTTGGTCCCAGCCTGAAGCACACTTGGGAACAGCTGCTGAGCCCTGGAATGTGGCTCGAGCATCCATGGTTAGTGACAGGTAAAGGTGACAATGTCCTTCCTGCTGGGAACACCTGGGTTCTGGCTCCTGTCTCCTTCCCCTGCAGTCACTGAGCTGCACAGCTCCATCCACAGAGAGGAGAGGCTGCAGTCACATGGGCAGGACTGTAATTCCCACCCTGTTCTTCCAACCCAAACATGGAACCATCCCTCAGCATCAGGATTTTCCAAGCTCTTCAGAGCTAGGAAAAACTCATTCCTCATCACCAGCCACCTCTGGCAGGGCAAATCCATCATTCTGCTAAGCAGAGAGCACCTGAAATTGCTTTGGAAAGCTTTGAGCTGCTGGCAGCAGAACAGGTCTGTGCTCCAAACCTTGCTGATAACCTCAGCACACTTGGAAAGGATGGAATTCTCCTCCTTCAGCAGCCTGGTGATTCCTCAGCTTTCAGGAGCTGCTTGAAAACATCCCTGTCTGGACCTGTATCAGACAAAGCTCAGTGTTTCTGTTCTCCAGACAGATTTGCAGCCCAAGGAGGTCCCTGGGTGTTGATCTGCCTGAGCACAGCCTCAAAAACCCGGTGGCAGCTTGGCCTGGGCCCCTTGCTGGGGAGAGAATTCCATCCCTGCCTAGGCTGGTATTGAGATCCCTGTGTCTGCCCAGAAACTGCTCTTTGTTTAACACCAGCCCCAAGATTGTTAGAGATGCCAGCTGCCCTCACCCCGTGGCTCTGGGCACAAGCCTGGCACTGTTCTCAGAGATGCAGGTTTTGGTGCTGTCCTGGGGAAAACCTGCAGCAGAAACTCCTCTGCTGATGGGCATTTCCTGCTGCTGAGGGGAATGAGGTGCAGGGACCTGCTGGAGCCTCAGGCAAGGTCAGGGGCTCAGTGGGAGCCCTGAGCACTGCTCCTGTGTTTTCCCACAGGGAGACTTGGCCAGGTTTTCCATGGCTGGGATAACATCCCTGCTTAGAGAATCTTCCAACTTCCACTTTCCAGATGTATGGGCTGAGCTGCCTTAGAATCCCAGATTGGTTTGAGTTGGAGGAGACCTTAAATCCCATCTCATTCCACCCCTGCCAGGGACACCTGGCCTATCCCAAGCTGCTCCAAACTCCATCCAGCCTGGCCCTGGACACCTCCATGCCCTCAGAGAGGGCAGACCCCAACCCTGGCACCTTCTGCCAGCCAAGGAGACAATTCCCCCCCAGGGGGACACTCGGTGTCGACATGAGCAGACAAAGGGTACAAAGAGCTGCTCCAGTGTAAAATCTGCTCAGAGGAGCTGAAATCCCTTTGTTTATCTATTTACACATTTTCAGCTCTCACTGCATCCTGCAGGGACAAGAGAGCACTGTAGCCACGTCCCTGTCACCTAAAGTCTGGGACAAACCCTTGTGATGTCCCAGATCTCCTCACAGCATGCCCAGAGGTTATTCCACATCTGCCCAGCCTCAGGGACAGGGAAATCAAAGTCCAGCCTTTCCTCCCCTTCAGTCAGTGACAGTATCAAGTGCTGGCAACACCACGGGGTTTTTTTTTCTATTCACTCATGTCAAATGAAACAGGATTTCATTCTGATTCTGCCCTCAGCACACAAAAAGCTACAGAAAACATCAATGAGAGCCCAAAGTTAGCAATCACAGAGTCCCAGAATCCCAATGGAGTGGGAGAGAGTTAAGGGATGCAGAGAGAAAGAAGATGCACGGAACTGAAGAACAGGCAAATGAGGAACAATTCCCCACAGGAGAGCTCTATCCTCACAAAAACCACCACCAAAAATCACACTGTGACTGGCACATCTCATCCCCAGCTACTTTCCAGGCTGAATTCCCAAAGGATACAGATGCAGCACACAGGCCACCCACAGCTGTACAGAGCACTGCTGTCCTCCTCAATTTTAGCCAGGGACAGAACATTTAGGGGAAGATTTTTCCGAGGGGATTCCCACTTTTGGAAGCCTGGCCGAGCAAAATTCACATTTTGCTGCCAACAGGCACCTGGAAGAGGCTCCCCCTACCCCATCCTTGGTGTCCTCCCTGCATTTCCCTCTGAGCTCCCAGTATCCAAACTGGTCTAACAGGTAACTCATTGGAATTCCCAACCTGAGGACCCAGCAAGGAGCAGAAAGGGGGGTTGGAGTTGTTCCTCCATCAGGGATGGGCAGCTGTGATGGGATGTGTCCTTGTGTCCCCTCGGGGTGGCAAAATGGGATTCACCTCCCTTTGGGCAGCACTTTGTGCCCTGCCAAGGGGAACTGCAGGTTGCACCTTCCAGCTGCCCGTTTCTTGGCCAAAAAAAAAGAAAAAAAATTCCATAAAATAAGAGAGAAATGTTTCAGAACCTGCAGCAGCCAAAGCCAACAGGCCTCAGCTAAAGCCACCTGAGATCCTCCCAAAAGCAGTGGAAATTCCTTTCTTGGAAGCCTCTGGCTTGAGAAAATCTGTTTTTTAAATGAATATGTGGCATGTCTGGAGAGCTCCTGCTGAGGATGGAGAAAAGAATTGATTCATCTTGGACCCAAAATAGCTTTGCCACCACGGCTGGGATGGTGAGGGAGGGTTTGGGTGAAACATTGCTCACCCCAAATCCCAAATCCATGTCCCAAATCACCCAGAGGAACCAGCCAGACATTGGCACAGCCAGGAGGGATTTGAACATGGTCTGGTGCCATTGCCCAATGCCATAAATGCAGCCCAAAGGCTGAAACAGCAAACAAAAAGTTATTTTATTTCCTTTCAGTATTACAAAATAACCTTATACATAAAAATATCTCCTTGTGCAGAGCGTGAAATTTCAAGCCTTTCCAGGCTATTTTCTAATTTTATCTGTATTTAATGCCTCTCTATTTCTAGAGGATACATTTAAAATTAATCCGATTGAAATTGGTAACATTTCTCAAACCCAAAATACTCTGCTTGACCCAAAATTTCTACTGAAAAGATTTAATCAAGAACTTTTGATTTTCATCCTGAACCAGGCTAGAAGAAAAAAAATCTCATTTTCTCAAAGACTTAGGGATAAGAACGTAAATAAAAAAAAATTGAACCAGTTTAGAGTGTAAGTGTACTCAACTTTTAAAAAATTAACTTTTTCCTGTTTTTTGCTGTTTCTTGTGCCTGAAGTTGTGCTTCAAGGCTGTGTCAGAGCAGCTGCTCATGGTTTGAAACAAGATGAAAAAATTTGAAAGGAGAAAAAGGGGGAAAAAAGGGGGAAGGAAACCCAAACGAAACAACAACCAACCAAAGAATCCCACCACCACCAACAACAAAAAAACGGAATCAAAATAAATAGAAAAAAAAAGCCTCAACTCTAATTTGGATAATTTTCCATCTTTCTGGAGCCCAGAAGGAAATTTTAGAAGCCAGCTCCCTCCTTCCCTGCGCTGATAAAGAACACGCAGGGAATCGCCAGCCACAACCCGGGGGCGCTCGGCTGAATGAATGATGGGCAGCGGGGAAAAAAAAGGAAAAAAAAGGTGGAAATCCTTCCCAGGTGTCCTGAGCTGCCAGGAAAGGACTCGTAGACCCTGGGTTTTTAGAGGAGAGTGCAGAGGGGAAAAAAATAAAAAAAAAAAAAAAAAAAAAAAAAAAAAAAAAAAAAAAAAATTTTAAAAGGTGGAAATCCCTCCCAGGTGCCCTGAGCTGCCAGGAAACCCGCAGTCCCCGTGGGTTTTAGGGGAGAGAGCAGCCGGCAGCAGGGGAAAAAAAGTACGGGAAAAAAAATAAAAAAAAAATTAAAAAAAAAAAATAATAATAAAAAGTGGAAGTCCTTCCCAGGTACCCTGAGCTGCCAGGGCAGGACTCGCGGCCCCGCAGGTGTCAGAGCAGGGCACAGGGCAGCAGGTGGAGTCCCCGCTCCGTTCTCCCGTAGCCCCGAGTTTTAATGAGGCAGGTTTAGAGCTCATTAATGATCCTGCAGGAGCCTCCCAATTAACGCTGTGCTGATAATGAGGGCTGATTAGAGGCGGGGTCCGGGCGCGGTCAGGAGGCGGCCCCGGCGCTGCTTTAATTGCCAATTAACAAAGGCAGCGCTAACGAGGAACCAAATCTATGTGAGAGGAATAAATTCCCTTTCGGCTTTGCTCAGGAACTCCTTGGACAATGTCCCGAAAGGCAGGGAAAGTGTTAGAGGAATAGGGGGAAAATTCATCCGGGATCAAAGGTGTCTTGCTGAACCCTAAATCCTCTTCCCTGAGGATTTATCCAGAGCAGCACACAGTGCCTGGAAAACTACTGGCACCCCGACGGATTGGAATTATTAAGAGCACCCCATCAGCCTCTGGGACAGGAACTGCTCTGGGAATGATCCCCAGACAGGAATAAATTTAGGACAGTGGAGCGCTGCTGTGGGAAATGAGGTCAAGTTTGGTGAATAAATTATTTGCTATGAATAATTCACCCCGACCTAGTTGGAATGATTGTACTCTGATTTAATTCTGCTGGTTTCAGAGAGGCTCTGCATGGCCCTCATCCCTCTCGCTGTGCCCTGCACTGAGATCATCCCAGGAATCCCAGAATTCCGGGATGGTTTGGGTTGGAAGGGACCTCAAAGCTCATCCAGTTCCACCCTGTGCCATGGGCAAGGATAGTGAGCCAATCTTAAGACACCAGAGTGAAGTCAAAGAGGTTTTCTTCCCCTTTTTCATCTGATGGGATAGAAAAGACTAAAATTCATGGAATCACGGAATGATTTAGGATGGAGAAGACCTCCAAGATCATCGAGTCCAAGCACTGATCCAGCACTGCAAGGCCCCCACTGACCCATGTCCCCAAGTGCCACATCCACATCTGCAGGGTTTTAAATCCCTCCAGCTGTGGTGATTCCACCACTGCCCTGGGCAGCCTCTTCCAGGGTTTGAAAACTCTTTCCATGGGGAAATTCCTGCTGGTGCCCACCCTGCCCAGCCTGAGGCCGTTCCCTCTCCTCCTGTCCCTGTTCCCTGGAGCACAGCCCGACCCCCCCGGCTGTCCCCTCCTGTCAGGGAGTTGTGCAGAGCCACAAGGGCCCCCCTGAGCCTCCTTTTCTCCAGGCTGAGCCCCTTCCCAGCTCCCTCAGCCTCTCCTGGGGCTCCAGCCCCTTCCCCAGCTCTGTTCCCTGCCCTGGAATGTTCCAGCCCCTCAGTGCCCTTCTCACTGTGAGTGGCCCAGAACTGCACACAGGAATTTGGGTTTTTCCCGGCTCTCCCCCCAGCCCAGTGCAGGATAGAGCTCCCTGATTTCTGGGCAGCACATCCCGAGGATCCCATGCACGGCGGGGAAGCAGCAAAGCCACGCACACGGAACTGCAGAGGCCGGTCAGGCTGACCAAGGAGAACATTGAGAAAGGGGAACCAGAAAACAGCAGAAAGGAAGGACAGCAGCCAAGGAGGCTGCAAAGACGGGGAAATCCAAACAAAAAACAGTGTGGACATACTGAGAAGGCAACGAGGACGTGGGGAAAACACACAAAACCTCTGGAGAGGACTGGGAAAAGAAGTCATGGAAAGAAAAGGGGGAATATGTGGGGCAAAAGAGCTTTTGCTGGACAGAACAGTCATGGGGTTTAAAAATCAGAGGGAGAGGGTGAAAATAGGGCAGAGACAAAGCCCTGGCTGCTGTTGGCACTGACTGAGCTACACCTGCAGGAGCAGGGGCTCGATGCCCCTCTCCAGGACAGGCATTTCAGTGCCCGGGATATTTCAGTGTCCTCCTGAGTCTCTCATCACTGGGGAGTGGATGTCACACGAGTGACACCACTGGGGACAGCTGGCAGGAGCAGGGCAGGGGTGCCACGTCTCAGCACAGCCATAGGGGAAGATGGCCAGCAGCAATCCATGGGTGTGCTGCATGGAGAAGTGGAGGAGGTAAGCAGCAAAAACCAGTCCTGACCCACAAGGGTTTCATTTTATCAGCAATAACTGGGTGAGAGATCAGCCCAAAGTGCAGCTTTAATCCATGGGGAAAATCCTGATCTTGTCTTAAATTCATAGTTTGTCGTTCAGGGCTCTTTGATAAGGGGGAAATGAATGTGATCATCTCCACACTCAGAGAAATCTGATGTTCCCCTGGACTGGAGCTGTTTGAAGCCATCTCTGCCTGTGCTTGTGGCACACAGACACAATCCAGAGATGGGGAAAAATTAATGATGTCTTTAAAAAGTCAGGAGTCTGGGTTATAAAAAGAAGCCATTCCTATGTACTCAGGTTCTGTGGGTTTGTTCTGTTGGGACAGACAAATTAAAGGAGGTATCAGGAAATTCTCAGGGAAAAGCCAGGCTGAAGAAATGCCTGTGGGCACAAAGTCTGCTAGGAAAACCAGCCCAAAATCTTATTTAAAATGCCTGGTTTAACACATGATCTCTTTATCCCTCTCTTTTTTTGTTGTTGTTGTTCCTTTTTGAATTCTACAAGATTTAGGGAAAAAGTTTTACCCTTCTGGTACAGCCCCAGAGCAGATCTGGTTGCCCACCTGCAAACACCTCCTTTCAGCAGGACACAGCTCTCCTAAACCAATGGAAACTCACAGGTGGCAAATCCTTGGATTTCTGTGGATAATTGGTGTCTAAAATAGCTGAGACCTGGAATTTTGATCTAGTTGGGTTCCTCAAGCTCAGTTATGGTGGCCACAAACAAATCAAATACAGCAAAGCCACCTAACTGGAGAGATGTAAGGTTATGTGTCCTTTTATTTTAAATTCTGGCATGCTGAGGAAGGATCTTGTAGGAAGATTTATCTGAATTCTTCTTGGTGCTACGTGCCCTGAATGAATCAGACCCAGGTTTGGGTCCAGCTTGAGCCTCTTCACAAAAATCTTGGGTTTATTTGGTCTCAGTGAAGAATCCCTCAGTACAGGAGGGGCTGTTGTGATGTGGATCCACTGGACTGAATTTTGGGGTTTGGGGGTGGCTGGATTGACACTGACAGCCAAGAAATCCTGTTGGGTTTGATGGATTCTCAACCACACCAGTGATAAATGGTTCTGAGCAACCTCTCCCTCTGCACTGTGAGCTTCAGTGGTGAAAATTCCAAGGAATCACCCTGAAAATGGAAGTTTCCAAGCACCCTGAGAGTTTTTGGGAGGGCAAAACTGAGTCTGCTCCCTTTCCATCTGAATTTCCACCCAGGCTGCAGCCTTTGGGATAGAATTCATTCTGGTGGCTCAATTAAAAAGTTCTGCCAAATCAACAAGAAGCTGGAGTGATTTCTCCATCTCCCTGTCCTGAATGTTTTCTGGTAAAGTCTTTTCTTCCACAAGGCTGTTTAAAGAGCCCTTCTGGTGTTGTCTCTGTTTAATTGCTTGCTCACTCCTAGGTACTGCCTACTCTAATTACTCCAGTCTAATTAAGAGGAGGGAAAAACAACATTCTGTTGAAGGGTTAGTGAGACAAAGAGCCCCAGGAAGAAAAATGGGGATCTAATGGGGGGTAATTTGCTCATTAGCAGGGTCCCTCCCCAAATTAACCTAAATGGAAGCAGAATGAGAGAAGAGAGAAACACTGATAGAGAAAGAGTAGAGACATACTTAGAAAGACAAACTGATGTGCCAGAGTTTCAAAGACCAGAAAAAAGTCACCCAGAAAAATTATATATAAATATATATAAATTAAAAAGAAAAAAAAAAAAATCAGAAGATCCAAAATCTTGCTTGGAAAGCAGAGAAAGCACCAGAAAAATCCCAAAGAACAACACGAATGCCACAGAAACCCCACTTCAGCCACGGCACAAAAAGCTGCTGGTTGGGCAGGAGCTCCTGGGGAGGTTTTCTACCTTATAGGCAACACGAGCTGGGCATTTCTTCCCAAGGCCTAGAGGTGGGGACATGTGTCTCAGCATCTCATACATGTCTGTGTAACTGATGCGCCCGCTGGGACCACAGGGATGGAGGCAAAAGCACCGGGACACAGAAATCCAATCGGATTGAGGAGGGGAAAATGGGGAAGGGGTGGGGGAAAGGCAACACAATGGAGCAAATGAAAAGGAGGAAGGGGGAGAGAGAGAGAGAAGGGAAAGCAGACAAGAAAACAGAGATCTGGTTAATCAGATTTCTCTGGGAACAAAACCGAACTCAGGAGACGGGGCAGGAGAAAGGTGGCTCCGCTTCCATTGCTGTGTTTGCACCCAACGTCTCCTCCTCCTGCAGGGGCAGCCCGTGGCCCTGGGGATGCTCAGTGTCCCCTGGGGAATGCTGGATGTCCCCTGGGGAATGCTCCATGTCCCCCGGGGGAGAAGGGCTGGCAGGGCTGGGTTTGGCTGGCTCTTGGCAGGGTGGGATGAGGGTTCCCCCGTCATCCCCAAACCAGTCAGGTCACCATGCCAGGGAGAGCTGGGAGGCAGAGTTATGGGACAGGGTGGGAGAACAGCCCAGCTTTTCCTTCCAGGAAGCAGCACTTTGGGTTTGGGTGATGGGATGAGGGAGAAGCCAATTGTGGGGGGTTTGATGAGGGACTGCTCCCACTCCCAGCTCAGGCTGGGATTCTGCAGATTCCTGCTCCAGAAAAAAGCAGAGCCCAGCCCTGGCAGGAGGTGGGAAGGGGATCTGTCCCTCCCTCACTTTTGGTGGGGCTTGTTTTTCACCAAGCCAACCTCAACTGGGAATTGCAGAGGTTTGGGAAAAGTCCCTCTGAGCAGCTGAGGGCATCTCCCTTCAGCACATAAATCCTGGCCTGAAAAACAAGGGGTGCAAAACAGCAAGAAATTCCTGCTTCACCTTTTTGTGCCTGTTGGAACTGGGACAATCTCCTTTTGTTCTCCCAACGAGCTGCCTGCTTATACAATGTGCAAATCTCTGCTGCCTGGCATCTGAGGAGACCCAGGGATGTTATTAATACAAGTTTAACCCCTGGAAAAGCAGGATAATGTCATCATCTCTATACCAGCAGGGTAAACCTAAGCACCTATTTAAACCCTCTTTTCTGAGCAGGAAGCTTCCCACCAGCCCAATGCCCTGACATAGATCTCAGTTCCTATGTAAAGCTTTGATGGAGGAGGGGGAGGAGGAGGAGAGAACTCACCCAGCCCAAAAAATCTATTCCTGTCCCTCGTAACTGCTGCAGCTAAAATCCCACCCAGCTTTCCCAGCCCAGAGCTGATTTAGAGGCTGCTGAGAGACACAAATGGGAACTGGAGCCAATGTCCTCCCCTGGTTCCTTCCTGCCCTTGGCCTGGGCTGTGGGGTCTCCTCTTCCTCTGCAGAGCTTCTGAGCTCTTACTCCTCAGGCAGGTGAGGGAAACACCTGGGCTGGAGTGGAGAAGCAAAGGGAGCTCTGGGCTGGCTGCTTCCAGCCTTCTCCTTCATCCTCTGTTTACCAAGAAATTCCCTGCCTGCAACTGGGTCCCCACTGAAGCCCATCCCAGGGTGACTTCTCACCAAGATCTGTCCCAAATCCCCCACTGGGCTCCCAAGCACAGTGAACTCTCCCTGTGCCATGAGCAGGAGCTTTCCCTGCATGTCCACCACAACTCAGAGACATTTATCATTTATCATTTATCATTTATCATTTATCATTTATCATTTATCATTTATCATTTATCATTTATCATTTATCATTTATCATTTATCCCCCAGGCCATGTGTGGCTGTGGCACCATGAAAAGCTCATCCCTCATCCCTGCCCAGATCCAATGGTTTTCCAGCTCAGGAAAGGGTGAGTCCATCACTCAGCAATGCTACAAAGCCAAACCCAACTTGCTGTTCCCTGGAAACCTTGGGATGCCATTTCTCTCTGGAATATCCTGAAGTGCTGGGATGCTTTTCCCCAGCACTTCCCACCTGGAGCTGGCAGGATGGCAGCTGGGGGGTTCCCTGTGCCATAAAACTGCCTGTCCCCAGGCAGCCAGGGAGTGGGAGGACACAGGGAAGGGATGCATGGAGGGAGAAGGAGGCAGTCACTCAATCATTCCTTTGTTCAGGCAAGGGATTGGTTATGTTACAGTTTCTTTTCTCTACTGGTTGCATTTGCACTGAGAAGAGGGGACAAAAAGAAACAGAACCAGGACTAGAGATGCTGGAGGGATCTCTGAAATTCCAAACCTTGTAGGCCACCCTATGAGGGCACTTCTTTCCTAAGCCCAGGGGTGGAGCAATTACACGTAACAAATTGTACATATCCTTATAGTGAATGCGGCAACTGGAAAGGAAACACCAGAGGTTATGACAGCAAAATCCAACAGGAATCAGCTTTTCCACAGGCAAACAGGAAGAGTCAGCTCTTCCCAAGGCAAACAGGGAAGAATCAGCTTTTCCAAAGGCAAACAGGACAACTTGGAAGGGCAGAACACGCTGAAAAGAAAGGTTAGTGTGGAAAGGAAAGACACTTTAACACACAGAGAGGATTTCCAACTGCTCACCCAACTTTATATCCTTGGATTTTCCTCTGGGAAACCTTCAGTGCCATGTGCAAGGCTTCCCAAACATTGGGTTTCCTTTCCCACTCGTGTTTTAATTCCCTGTGCCTGAGCATCAGCCTCCAGCCTCTGCTGCCCAACACCCCGAGCCTGCAGGCCACAAAGAGCCTCTTGAATGGATTATTCCTGGGATTTTATTACAGCTCTTCAAAGGATCATTCCCAAATTCAAATTAGCTTCAAAACCTTGGGAGATTTCCCTGCCACTGTCACCTCCTACCTAACCATTCCTGGGCAATGAGGAATTTTCTGGGAGAAAGTGTCACCTGCAGAGCCGTGTTGGGCATTGGCACTGGGAAAATCCAGCTTTCAATCCCAGAAGGAGAAATCAGACACCTCCTGGAAGATTTATGGTCACCCTCATTAATTCCCAACAATCATTTCAGCTAATTAAACAGCAGGATTCTATTTCTCAATCTTTTTTTGTGTAATCAACTCATAGGCAAAAAGAGCTGAATTTCAAAATTACCTCTGAAGAAAACTGGGATGCTTTGGCCTCCCTGTATTTATTTTGGTGCAATCTGTAAAGTAGGCTGGAATATTTTGGGAGAACTCCTTCAATGTTGCTGTTTTTTGGGATGTGAAGAATTAAGGTCTATTCAAATCCCCAATCAAGTCCCAACTATGAATTCAGAGGGAGAGCAAATGGAACCATGCAAGTCTTGGCTCCAGGCCCAACCCTGGGTCTAAAAAGGGTTTGGTTTAACTGAGGCACCAAGTTTACACTTCCCTTATAATTTTAGAAAGATTCTGGAAAATCAGGGTGTGGAAAATACAGCAGAACACTTCCCTGAGCTCTCCAAGACTCCGTGGAAGGCTGGAAAACCAACAGATGGTTTGCACTGGGAGATCAGGGCACAAAATGAGGACAAACAGGGATCCTTTTCCAGGTTCAGAAAATTCCAGAATGGTTTGGGGTGGAAGGGACCATAAAGCCCATCCAGTGCCACCCCTGCCATGGCAGGGACCCCTCCCACTGTCCCAGGGAGCCCCAATGTCCAACCTGGCCTTGGGCACTGCCAGGGGTGGAGCAGCCACAAGTTTTTATTTCAGTTTATTTCAATCTGATTTTCCTCAGCATCCCATT